GGACGGTAGGCACGATGGTGCACTTATGCACGCCCCTTACAGACCTCTTAGGAATGGGGTGAGGTCAGTAGTGGTTAGTTTGAGGTTAAAGGAATAGGGGTTAGAGGATGTAACAACATCAGGAAGGACTTCAGGAGATGATCATAACATTTGGCCAAAGGCTAGTATGACTCTGCACTTCCTCTGGCCCTGCCATAAGCCAAACACTTGCAACCTCATCACTGATATTCTCATTTTACAAGCATTTTACAGCAGGGAGGAATTTCAGGACACCAAAAAAAAAAAAAAAGGCAGCCGGGAGGAAAGACAGGATTCTTTTTGCAAGCCTATTCCTAGCCCTGCAAATCCTGGAGCCGTCTCTCTGTGTGTTTTGCACAAGGGAAGTAAGCCCTCTTGTATTGCCCTGCTGGCCTGTAATCTTACACGAACATGTTGGGGAATGAGTGGCATAGACCATATGCCTGTATGGTGTAAGCTGATCCACTGCTACATCCAATATCTCAAGAGTCTGATGTGCTATAAAGATAAAATACAGCCGGCAAAGGCATTTGAAGGCTCATCAAACGTGCCAAGTTTTAGCTGGCTCTGGAGCTGTCGGATGGGGAATATCTAATTAGCAGCTGACTTTACTTTAATTTCCTGCTGCTGCCAACGTTTAAGTCAATAAAAAACGAGAAATCTTTGAATGCAACATGGTTGCTGTACGAGCTGTAAATAAAGCCACAGCTTGAAAACTCCCCAAATGAACTCTCGGGCAGTGAAAAGCCCCCTCATTCCCCTCCCCACCATTGAATGAGTTACTTGGTTACCACTGGACCTCTGAACAAGCCTCTGAAAGGGCCTGAAGGGGAAGGCTGGTCTCATTGTGTGTGTGTGGGGGGGGGGAGAACAAGGAGCAAGAACAATGTTTTCTATTGCACCGAAGGAGCTATGGATTTATGGGCCTAAACCCAGACCCAACCTCTTTGGGAGGAGTCCTTGTTCTTGGCTCGATTCTGGACCTGAAAGCTGCAGCTGGTGATGTAAAATCTGCCATTGTAGGAGGTTCCTGAGGGAGCCTTACAGTGAGGTGGGACAAAGAAGTCCCTTCTGTTTCTCGCACTCAGGTAGACTCCATGTGAGTAAGCCTTAAAGTGATAGGAATGTAGCTAGAGCTCTTTAATACTGTCCTACAAATTGATTGTTTGGAGGATAACAGGGCAGCTCCCCAAAACATCTGGGCATGATTTCAGGTTTCTATCATTGTTCTCTGTATGTCTATGTTCTGGAGGAGGTACCTCTTATACGGTAGTTGCATATTTGTGTATTGTTTTATATTTTGGATGTGCTCAGATTTATACAAATCAAGATGATAGACCAGAGCTCCAAAATAAACCTTATGTTTGATTTATGCACAATCCTCTGTTCCCTATCCCACACTTTTTGGCTCAAAATACATTATCAGGAAGCCGTTTTTGGAGGCTGAATTTGGGCAGGTTCCAACTGGTGGTAGGATGCATGCAGCTAGGGGTGTTGGAGATCTGACAGTAGGGGAAGATGGAAGAGGGGCAGGGGAAGCAGATCTGTCTTTGAAAACTTTACAGCATTGGCTAGTTGCAATCTCCAGCCAAGTACCTTTGAGTGTTACTGGGTCTGCAATGACTTGCAACTCCAGGTATTTTTTTTTTCTTTTAAATTTGTATGCAAGAAAATTCAACGATTTCTCATTTCCCCAAATAAGTGCAAGGCCAATGATTTCTTGTGAGAAAGAGTCTCCCCCACTCCATTTTTCACCTATTTTTGCAGAGCAGGCTTTTTTCCCCAATGCAAAATGATAAAGTCCTGTTCTTTATAGGGAATTTTCTTTCCCTCCAAGTCTCAGTCTCTCTCCCTCCCCCTCCCCCTCTCCTTTAGTTAGAATCTAACTGTGAGATATACGTGAAGGGTGATCACATAAAATGAAAACAGATAAAACATGGGGGAGTCCTGTGCCTGGCCACATCCCCATCACTGCTATTTTATACACTTTTCCCCTGATTGCCCAGCACAGGCACCCCAGAGGTTGCAGTTGCCCCTGCAGCCTTTTGCAGACTAAACATGATGGAATAGCCCGGAGCAGAGTATATCAGACACAGTAGATTTATGTTAGTGGGCAAAACCTCCAAGTCCAACGATGCCACAGATGCCTCCGATCAATACCTATCAATAGTAAGCAGGCAAAATAAGCTCCAGCATGCCTGGCTGCATAGCAACAGCACCACCTTGTGGACAGAATGGCAGATGGCACGCAAAGCAGCCGCGGTTTTCTTTATTTATGTAAAGAGAGAAAAAAGATGTTAATTCACTAAATGCCACAGTGCAGCATACTTAAGAGCTAAGGTCACCTAGTCCAGATCTACTTCTGCTCTTTCTCCTACTTCTCCAACTCCATCTTTGAAATCCCTTTTTACTTGAAGCTTGGAGAGGCAGGACATAGTACGAGTCCTAAGAGCCTCCAGAGATTTCAAGAATGGATCTTCATAGACAAAAGCTTTGGTGCAGCCTCTCCAAGCAGTTACTGCAGTTGTGAGGAACAGCAGATCCCATTGTCACAAATTCAACATAAGATGCTGGCACAAATTGTCTTTCCTTGTTGTCTTGATGGACTGTGTATATGCTTGTATTTCAATATTTTGGGGGGATGCTCTATAAGAAATGGATGATACCTTGGGTCTTTTAAGTTAATTCTGCTTTTTTTCTTACTTGGTGAAACTATTTCAGGCTGGCGTGTTTTAAAACCCACGGGAGCACTTTCTATTTTATCTGATCAGGATGATCAGGGACTGGAAACCCAGCTGTATGAAGGAAGTATAAGGAATCTGGGCATGTTTAACTTGCAAAAGAGAAGATTAAGGAGTGGTGCAATAATGGCCTATAAATATCTAAAAGCTGTCACATGCAAGAGAAAAATTTATTCTCTGTTGAAGCTTAGAACAAGACGAGAAGCAATAAATTGAAATTAAAAGCAAAGAGACTTAAACTGAGGATCAAGGAGGGGTTTTCTGAATATCAGAAAATGTTCCACTGTTAAGCAGTGGAACAGTCTGCCTAGCAACCCCCTGCCTGGAGGTTTTGTAGGGAGACTGGTTTGACACCTGCTGAGATGATCTAGTGGATGTGGGTCAGGCCTAGAAACCGGGAGATGGTGAGTTTTAGGCCTCCCTTAGCATGAAAGCCAGATGGGTGACTTTATCAATCCACCCCTCCTCACAGTGCTGTTGTCAGTGGTGGGCTGCTGACTGGTCCCACTGGTTCAGGCAAACTGGTAGTTGTGATCACTGGCTGGGCCCGCCCATGCATCCCTGCGCCATCCTTTCCATATATAACTAACTTTCTGGCTCATTCCCCCCACCCATGCTGCCCAGCTGAGTTCCATGCTGTGCCTGCTGTGCTCACCGGAGCTGCCTGAGTAGATTAGCTGCATGTTTGAAGCTCCGTTTCATCCCCAAAGCAGAGCGTGCAAGCGAAGCTTGTGTGTGCATACACACGCTCACAACCAGCGAACCGGTTGTTAAAGTAAGTGCAGCCCACCTCTGGTTGTTGTTGTGGGGAAAATAGGCAGGAGTGTTAGGTATGTTCATTGCCTTCAGTTGTACATGCTTTTAAAAATGGTAAAAATATAATAATTTTAAGTGTCACATACATACACTACTAAAAAATACATACATTGTTCCTGAAGACAGGAAATACAGAAGAGGCTTTGACAGCCCCACAAAATACTTTAAAACTCTTAAGGTTTCATGTATCCTCAAATTATAAAAGCTGATGCAGGATCTCAATGACTTTCTTGGTTGAAAATCCCACTAACCCTGAAATTACTATTTAATCAACATAAATGGTTCCCACTAACCTTACTTATACCTTCTGCTGAGTGCTTTCCTGATCTTCCTCATAAATTTTCTTTTTTTGAAAAACATTCATCTCTTGTTTCAGAGTTCACGGCTTCTCTGTGAATTTGATGATGTGAAACATGCCAAAGTAGAGCTTTTCCCTATGGGGCTATCATTTAATTTCGTTTGTTAAATCACATAGGGCATAGTATGTTCTCAACCATTTTATAGCCAAACTAACTAGTAATTATATCTGGAATTTTAAACTCATTTCAGGTGATGGAGTGTGGCATTTTTCCAAGCCTATATTCTTGCTCCATTGGGTCTCTTTCTCTCGCCCTTTCTTGCAGTTCCATTTTAAATCTTTGAGGAAAACACAAATTTTACAGAAGTGGGAGAAGGGAAGGTAGAACATAGGGAGATAATGAAGCGGCACTGGAAATGATGAATGTTACTGGAGGTTGAGCAATGAGAAAATTGACCCAAGCAAATTAATACAAGAAAGTGGCATATAGTGAAGGCCTATTTCAAAATTGGGATGCCATTTAATGGTGGCTATTTGTCATATGGATCCTAACTCTAGTTTTTATCTAAAATCCATTGTCTCCTCCTCTTCCTTGTAACATCTACCCTGGTATGTGATCAGAGATCAATCCTAATCTAATCTAATCATTTATCTATCTCTATATCATGTATCTGTCTATCTATCTATCTATTTATCATCTCTTTCTATCTGTCATTTATTTATCATATTTAAGAACTGCCCATCTCCCTCATAGAGGGACTGTGGTGGTGTACAGTATTATTGCACTACAGCTTCCACTGTCCTGTATCATGGACGGTATTGGCTTGATCTTTTGAAATTTGAGTTCAACAACATCTGGAAAATCATCATTGCTTATCTCTGGTGATGGGGTGTTATCACTTTACTCTGCGTTGCCTCTCTTTTCTGCACATCAGCAACATAGAAGCGGGGAAGAAGAGACTTAACTTGTGGTGGTTTTTTTTATAATTCTTTGTCACCCACATGTTTCTTAGAAGGGTCACTTTGGTAAAATCTGCCCGTATCTCTTGCATGCTTCTCTAATGTTGACCCTGGGATGAAGTTGTAGGAAGATACCAATGGATGCTGTTCTCTGTTTTCTATTACAGAGCTCCTGCGAAGCCTTGGGCCGTCACTCTGAGGGCACCTACCCCACAGGCCTCCTGCCTAACCACCACCATCGCCACCACTACTCGTCCCAGGGGGTCTTTGAAGACTTTGCTTGCTAGTCCGACTCCCACGGAAGGGAGAAGGGCTGCTAGAGTGGCTTTGGGCCCAGCACATTCCACTCGTGCTTAATGGCCCTTCCTAGTCGAAGCCAGGCCAACCTATGTCCTCCCACTTCCTAAGGCTGTCCAAAAGCATCTTACACTTTTCACACACCCCACCCCCACCCTATCTAACCCTGGCCCTTCTCTAAGAATCGGTGCCCTCCCTCCCATACCGAAGCACAGAGGTGAGCTGAACTGCCAAAGTCAGGGAGGCCTCTGACCAGCTCCATCGACTCGAAATAAGCCCAGGGCAGTCGGCGCTCACCCTCAAAATACAAGGAAGGATACTGGGGGAAATGGAGCATGCTGGGGAGTAGAGGTGCCTTCTCAAGAGAGAGAAGCAAAATTCCCCCGAGGCCCAGTCGGAAGGGACAAAACTGGCCAGTCAATTGCTTACAAGCCTCTGTAGCCGAACCTCCTTTGGCTGCAGACTCTACTTGGGGGGGATGGGGGGGGCGGGAATGTGTTCTTTGTAGCATTTCTTACTTGACCCTCCGTTTCTCCTGTTTTTGCACCCATCCACCCACCTGTTTGCCCACATCCAGACCATTCAGACATGCATCACCCTAGTCCAAACGTTCCATGCACACAGAGGTGTCTCAGGGCAGAAATCAGGTTCTCTCTCTCAATATCTGCTGGTTGGCAGTGCCGTGTCCCTGTTGCTCACATACTGCTGCCCACACCGGGACGGTGTGTCCCACAACAGGGTTCAAGATCACAAATCCTGCTCTTTCAAGGGAGATCCAGGCTATTTGCCTTTACCGTACAGACTCTGGCCTGTTACCTCACCCCCGCTCCTTGCATCTTTCTTCCTCTTTCACAGCTGTAAATGTGTACATAAGTGTTTGGGGCCAGTGATTTTTAGTCACCCACCCAGTCCTGTGTCATTGCAGCTGCCCCCTGCTGGTGTCTCCAAGAACTGCTGGTGCTGCCAGGCACCTTAAGACCTCAAAGCTCAGGTCCCCTCCAGGCCCAGCAGGAGATGGCTGAACCCCTGAGTCTCTTCAGGGACTCCCTTCCCAGATGTACAGACTTCTCACCACCTCAACTGTTCCTTCCATCTTCCCCCTCTCCTCAAAAGGGTCCGAGTAGCAACATCCCAGGAAGAAGACTCTCTGAAGGCCCCTTGTAATGCAGTGAGGAGCGAGGAGCTCCCACATCCCTTGACATGGTGCCAGTCCATGGATTGAAGCACATAGGCTGTTGATATACGAGGACAACTTCTCCTCCCAAAGTGTTGGAGAGAGGTGTGTGGCCAATCCTTGCTTAAAGTTACAGTAGGTCAATCCAAACCACCCAGTCACTTTCTGGGGCAAAGGATGCCCAGGCGTGGCCCTCAGATCCCAAGCAGTAAAACCAGGAAGATCCTTACACCATTGTAAAACACATGCCCCAGTCAAGGCGGTGCTTGGACAAGGATATGCTGGGAACCCTCCTCTCGCTCCCCTCTCTAGTGAGCACTGAGCGTCCAGGTGCTTGACTGCAATAGAGGGAGCAGCATAGGAAGGATACCATCCAAGCCATCCACCTGAAGAAGGGAACAGCCTTTGGGTTCTGTGGGATGGGATGCGGACTGCCGACTACCGACCAGCCTTGGATCTTCCTGGGAAAGATCCCTCCTCCCATACTTTTACTGAGCGCAAGTCGCTGTTTTACACATGTATAAATTTCTCCCAATAAAGAGGCACAGGTAGAACTCCAGATGTGTCTGTTGTGGCATCTTCAGCTTATCGACTTAAGCTAATCATGGGACTGCTGCCTTTCATAATTTCTTTCCTGTCTCCTTTTCCAATTTCTTCTTCTTTTCTAATTTCTTCTGCAAAGCTGTCTTGCCATTAGAACAGCCGCTATCTGTATCCCCAAATTGATCTATTCTAACTCGAGAAACATAATTAAGGGCTGCCCTTATTAATAACTGCTGCGTGCAGCTCGCTTCTTGGTACAGGCAACTCACGATGCCCAGCGGCGCTTTGAACAGAATTCAAAGGGCTCTGCTTATAGAGTGACAGTTCAGAGCCAAGCTACAATGGACCACACGTTCTGGGTTTTGTGCTAAGCAAAATATAACAAACAGGGATACGGCGGGTGCATTCTTTACCTTCACAAGCTCTTGGAGTTTGTCCCCAGCCCAAACATGCCAGATTTGAATTACTCTACTGGTCATTACAGGCTTCCCCCACAAAAATCAAAAGCTTCCTAGCCTCTTTGTAAAGATGCAATCCTCATTTCTCAGGGTTTCCTACAAAAAGCAAAATATGTGTTCATTTAAAGATTTGCACTGTAGGGTTGCTTGCGGCTTTCTTCTAGAGAAATAAAATATCTACCACAGTGGAGGAAGATAATATAGCATCAATTCAATTACCATTATCATAATCCTGTTTCCAAAACCATTTAGGCATCATTGGTTCCAAAATCAGTTTTAGATTGTCACCAGGAGAGGGCAGCAGAATTATTTCTTACACTCCTGCAAGTTGGCAGCTTAGCCAGAAGAAATGCTGGAGGGAGTCCAAATCAGGTGTTTTCAGGTTTGCAACAGGGCTTGCAAAAAATGGAAAAGAGAAAGCCCAAAACTTACACATCCAACCACAGATTGACTGGAGCTCCTTTTAGAGACTCCCTTTCCTAATAATAATAATAATAATAATAATAATAATAATAATAATAATAATAATAATAATAAATAAACTGGAGCTCGTGTGCTTGTTCCACCAACTTACTACTGCAGTCCAATGTAGCTTGGCTATAAACAGAGCAAAGTTAGGAAAAAATACAGAGACGAGGCATATGCTCTGAAAACAATTTTTGTACCCCTATCTATCTGTCTCTCCTTCACACACACACACACACACACACACACACACACACACACACTTCTCCAACAAACAAACAAGAAAGATGCATTGCAGACATCTCCCCTGAGTGCTAATGCAACAATCCACCTGAACCCCAATGTAAGGTTTCCAAATCGAATAAACAATGGGTTTACTTCAACAAAGCAGTAATTTCAGCGGCTGCTGCCTTTATCTCTATTTACAGAACGAAGCAAAGAGCTAATTGGGGACAAGGTAAAGCCAACATCTTTGTGACTGAAGGGGAACACTAGTTAACCTGGAGTGAATATGGCCTGTGAACAAAAGGAGAACTGTCTACATGATTTTCAGGCACCACAGCCAGGAAAACATCGTGTTTTGTTTTTGTTTTTAAAAATCAGATTTCTTTTCCTCCCAAAGTCCAAAACTTTTGAGAATATTTCCTGCTCTTTGTTATTCTTACAACCACACGGTTCAAGATCATGAGTATTTTCAGGGAAGGCTTTTTTCACACTTCATGGGACTTCAGCCACCAACTTTCACCAGGGGATGGAATTCCTGCCATTAGAATTGTCCTTTAAGTTTCCCTACTGATTCTCCCATTTATATCCTCAATTGCAAAATCCACCTGAGGGAAAGGGAATAGCTATGAAATGCCTTTGGCCAGTAGCCTGGAGCGTCCTCTTCTGGAAGCAGGGCTGTAGCCTACGAATGTTGTTGCCTGGCAGGGCTTCTGGAAGGTTCCTGCACCTCATGCTCACTTCCAAATGTGCTGCTTCCACATTGCCTGAAGAAAGTGTTCCTCCTCCTCAGACCATCAGTGATGAATGTTGCCTGGTCACACCTAATCTCAGATGGCTTCCCCCTGAAGAAATAATTTTCACTTCCATTCCTTCTTTCTCTTTTCCTCTCTCTGCCCTGAAAATTTTTGGGTTCCTTCAAGTCTATTTGTACAGATTATACTCTTTTAACAATGCAAGAATCCCTATTCATTTATTGATGTATTTGTTTGAATGTACAAGTTCATTGGGAAAGGTGTGCTAAAAGTTACACTATAGAAATCAGCTAGAGTGACATATTCTACTATCTGGAATGCATGGAGTCCAAAGTGTTTCTAAACCAAAATGTTCTAGATCAGGAGTCTCCAACCTTGGCAACTTTAAGACTTGTGGACTTCAACTCCCAGAGTTCCTCAGCCAGCTTGAAGTCCACAAGTCTTAAAGTTGCCAAGGTTGGAGACTCCTGATCTAGATCGCAGCAAATTCAGGACTGAGTAGAATAGGAGAATTATCCAAACGAAACAACAATCCAATGGTCATTTGCGAACTGAAACCATTTGATGGAACTAGTACAAGCCCAATTGCAGTCAGGTCAGGTGTGTCTATGCAGGCATGCATTCTTTCAAGAGTTGTATGTTACCCCAATCCCTGACCCCATGTCCTGCTGTTATGGGCAGGTTGAAGGAATGGGGTTGTTTTGGCCTGCCTGGAACTCTGTTTGCATGTCATGCCCCTAGGGAAAGAAAATACCCAGATGTTTGCCCCCACTTTCTTGAATTCCTTTTGTGGTCCCCCAATCTTGTATCTGGCTGTCTTCTCCTCATGCCACCCTTACCTGGTGCTGCTTTTTCTTATGACCTGTCTGATAACTGTACAATCCCATCCCCCCTCCCAAAATTTGGACCCAGGCAGGCACTGCCCAGCCATCCATCACTGTGTCTCTGCCTTAAGGTTGACCAGGATTGTTCTAACACCATGCCACATCCTGCCAAAGTAGGACCGTGCAGGAAGAGACAGAGCTGGGGACTTCGCATTATGCAGCTGGTTCTTCTAAACGCCCCTAAAGCAGAGTCCCTCTGCATAAAAATGCCTGCAGGGGAGAGAATCCCAAATGCCTCACCCAAGGACTAGGAAATCCCTGTCTCCGTTCCCTGGTCACAGGCAGCAGAGATATTCCACAACGTGTAAGACGTATAATGTGTCAATCTAAATAGGCCTCAGAGGAGAAGCTCCTGAAATGGAAACACTAAGTAAACAATGTGTTCGGTTGGTAAAGCCAGAAATCCTTGCCATTTCGTTATAATTTCCAAAGTGAAATGAACTGGTTAATTGGACCTACATTAAAGTAATCCTATTTGCCTTGGGAGAAAGCCATATTTATCTAAAAGGAATTTAAGATGACCTTCCCCCCCACCCCAAAAAAGAAAAAACCCACCTCCATTCCATCATTTGTGAACAAATTAATCTTTATTTCAGGTAAATACAGTGTGTTTAAGGTATTTGTGCAAGTCTTCATTGGTGTGTTTCTATTCACATTTCAAGCCTCAACTTGCAGCTGTCTGCCTCATACACATTTGTGTGTGTCAACTTAAAATTCAGAACAGCTTCCTTCCAGGTAAAGGCACCCAGATGCATAGTGTAATTGATCATAAACAATGCTTTCCTAAACGTAACAATATACAATGAGTTTATCAAGATAACTCATCAAGTAAGATATTTCCATTAATTGTTTCTTGCCTTGAAATCACCTGCAGGGGCATTCACTAAACAATGATTTAATAGTAGTTACAGACCCTTTAAAATTATTGTTTTGTTCCAAGAAATCTCAACCCTCAGAGAATAAGAATGTTTTTGCCTGATGTGCCAACAATAACGAAGTAGGAGTTAAGTTAGAGAAAGTGTTTCAAAGTAAGTGGGAAGATGCCACCAAGAAGAATTTCTCCTTCCATTAACCATAAAACAGTAACATCTTCCTTTACACATATGCTAAAGCCCATATATCTTATAGTCTCCTCATAAGTCAGAAACTCCAGTTCTTCCCTCACCACTAATTGATCTTTTCCTTACATTTCCCAACAGTCATACCTCCTTTTTATGCATAACAAGGAAAATATGAACCCAATAATCCAAACATACGTTCATTCACTATCAATAAATCTTTTTAGGACTTTACTATGCTGGCCAGACTGTTTTCTTTCTTTTTCCTGATTATTGCTAGTTTAGAAATGGATATGATTGATGTGAAGTAGGCCTCTTACAACAGCATTAGAGCCAGAAAATCAGAAATCAGCCACATCAATAGCCAAAGAAAACAGATATTTGGCTTTATTTTTATTTTTTTATGAACACCAAAAAAAACAAACAAACCCTGAAGCAAAATGAGGTGCCTAAGCCACCATGGAGACTGACTGGAAGAAGGGAGGGGATCTCCAGGAAAAGACCCCCAGAGCACACAGCTGGAAGCCTGATCTCATCCAGCTCCTTGATCTTGACCTTTAAATAAAAACGAGTAATGAGGGAGTTATAAAGGAATCCATGAAAGGGTTTAAATTCTGTCCCTTTCTTTTGTTGCTAAAAGCAATCACACAGAACCTGACCCAGGGGCTGTGGGGTAGCGCTGTGTGTGTGTGTGTGTGTGTGTGTGTGCGAGCGTGTGTGGGGTAGCTGTGTGTGTGTGTGTGTACATTCACAGGCACCATTATAGGCTCTTACAGAAGCGATTACTTCAATGACTGACTTCTATTAGGCTTTGTTAAGGAACTATGGTGGACATTAATCAATTCTTCATTAAAGACTCACCCCTTGGGAAGGAAGATGGAGCAATAGAATTGTGAAATTGAATTGACCCTGGGTTGCTGCTTTGGACCTTCGAAAAAACTCCCTACTTCCTTTTCAACACGTAGAATCCACAATGGCCTTATTCACTTTCATGGGTAAGATTATCAACCTGTTGCTAATCCTATCCGCAACGCTGCCAGACCCTGAACGGCGTGTCAATATTTCTGCTGACAACCCGGCATGCGTTATTATTACTATATTAAAACATTTCTGAAAAAGAAAAAAAAAGAAAAAGGGAAAGTCAAAAAGAGGAAAAAACACAAAATGAATAAAT